ATTTGCAGAAATTTTTAAATAGGTATTTTTATCACATTTTATATATTGATTTAATATATTTACTTGTATATTAGATATATGTAGTTGCGTTATTTTGTTTATTTCATATTCGAGAATTTATTTAAAGTATCAGAACTTACTTTCAAAAACTTCTGATTATGTATTACACGACAAAAATCAAATTGAAAAAAAAACTATTGTGATGGAAATATGTTTTAATTTTCGGAAAGTATTCCAAACTTATATGTCATGTCGTGCACATAAACTTTTCCAGGATGCAAGCAGCAAAAGGGAAAGTGGTCAACAGTGTGAAAATAATTTTGAGGCGACAAAGCAAATCCATCATGACAACGATAGGGAATACCTCCTTTGCCATAAATTTCAGTTGTTTCTTCCTTTGCAATTTTTTTTGCCTATTAAAGATATTTTCACTAACTCATGAGAAATATATTTATTTTTATATCAAGAAAATAAACTAAATTTTAGAATCTCAATAGAAATTTAGAAAATCGTTAAAAATAATTCATTAAATTAGATACAATTAAATTAAAAATTAATTAATATTAACTGTCAGATAACTTGAAATCTTTAAATTGATAAATATAATTTAATATTAACTTAAGATAATTACGATATATATTTTATTTAATTCTAAAATTAAATAAAATTTAAAATTATATTATTATGACGTTAAAACAAAATTTCATCTTGTATTTACCAATTCCAAAGCATTAAGTCGTACGTTCTTGTAGTCTCCTCCTTCTTTTAGATCGGGAGGATAAACATGTTGACGTGGTAATTCATTGCCAGTATAAACTCGCAATACAGGTTGGTTCGAATAAACCTCCAAAAATCGTCCGGAAGTAGGATGTAAAATTCTTGTCATATAATTAATAAAATAAATTTATTTTTAAAGGAAAACATTTTATATTGTAGCATTATAAAATTTTGAAATTAAATTTTAAATCAATTTAAAATTTAAAATTTAAAATTAATTGATTGATTAATTTTAAATTTAAAATTAAGTAATGCTAAAAAAGACCTGGCCTTGCGTAAATTTTCTGTAACTATTAAGAGTATATATACTATACTCTTTAATTTGACACTTGCAAAGCTTTATGATTATCGTTTGTTTTTGTTTAATATCTGGCGAACAACAAAAATGGAAAATTTTAAAAGCATTGCAAGCTTCAAATAGAATGCAAATCTGAAATGGACTCTAAGATAATAGAAGAATATAGATATTATCGACTGTTGATATAAATATATGAATAAAGCATATAATATATGTATATTAAATTTATAATTTATTATTATTATACAGATGTTCAATAAAAAATAATTACAAAATAGTAATATCATTGTATATTGCAAAAGTCATCATTGTATAATGCAAATTTTTTATCTATAATTATCTACTGCATGAATAGCTTGGTAATAATAAAAGTGCAGTAGTTTAAGCTAGTTAGGATAATAATAAATCATTAAATTCATATTATATTACAAATTATCTCAATTTTTATTGCTATGCAAACTTCTATAAGACCGGCCATCTTTAATAATATCTTATTAGGTCTGAGTATTACCGTGCGTGGAAACGATAACACCAACAACTGGGACTGTTGATACATAGATTGTGGTTGTAACCACCACCTGATACATCAAATAATCGACGTTGGTTCAATTGTGTTGGTAAACGCAGCTCGAAAACTGTACCATCCACTGGATATGTAATAATGGACGGCAAATTATTGACTTTCATGGAGATCCAACTATTGGCATTAACCGTGAGTACATGTTTCTTCAATTCCTTCGAACCTGTACCCTATTAAATCGTTTTAGTATCCTTTTAGAAAAATTTTGAGTAATTAATCAACAATTGGAAAATAGATTTAAACTTATGGATTTTTTTTTATGGAACCTTTATCTCTTTGTACTGTACTATGTTTTTGATTTTCAAAATATTCTCAAAATATTCTCAAAATAATAAACATTAAAATTTATCGATTTCAAATTTTAATTTTCAAAAGTTCTCTTAATTTTATAAACTGACATGACTGATACGACGAATATTAAATATTATTTTTTTCTTCTATTTAAAAAACTTATGTACGCTAAGTTAAAAGAATATATGTAAAATATAGATAAAATTATAAAAATGAATATAAAATAATTTCGATATATTGATATTAGGATTTTTTAATTTTATAAATATCGTGATTATATATAAATATATATGTTATTATATTCTCTAAGAAACAAATGCTTTCTATCTTACGTGTCCGGCGAGATTGAACAAACAGTAATTAGTAATATTGACGGGGGTGGACTTTGTGCTGGTGGCACGGATATTAATGTGAAGTTGATTGTCATCCGTCCACGTGTATTTTATTTGCGTTAACACATCACCAGGGTATCTTCGGTTGCCACGACTCAAATGCGACATCACCTCGTCGACAATATAAAACAAGCAATAATTTTAACAATTTCACGGCTTGATTTCAGGGAATAAGTTTCCATCCTACCACTCGATTGTTCACTATCTGCGACTGCCAATTAGCATTATCGAACGCGACCGTATCGTTATTGAAACAATCCTTTCCAGCCCCGTCGTTAATCGACAAAGGATAAATTACGTTGTCGAGATGCATTGGACCGCCGGAAATACAATTGGCAACGCGGCCAATGATGCTTCCCATATATCTGTTCTTCAAATATCCTAATTACAAGTTAGCAACGACAGTAAAGAGCCTCACTTAAAATATAAATGACTAAATGCTATATTATACTTATATATTTTTAATACACGTAACTTTTAATGTAACTTAAAAAAAAAGGAAAGAAAGATGTCATACAATAATAAGATTGATTTGATTTAGTTTAAAAAATTTTATTAATTTGTTTTAGAAAAGCTACTTGTTTGAGTAAAGTCTTTACCGTCCATGTCATCAAATCCTAAAACAACATCGGTTAAGTTACCATCTTGATTGGGAACTTTGATTGATTGGATACCGGCACCCCAAGATATTAGACGCACAATCGCCTTATGTTTATTTGTCAAGGTGTATCTGTTTACATCAGAAATGACAAATTTACATTAAGATTAATTCATTAATTAAAAGCGACCCTTTAATATACAGAGCAACGTATTTAGCTTGTTCATTCTCGTTAAATTTTCTATTCAAATTTAACAACAAAGAACAAAGAAGTTTCATTATATATACAGAGCTTTTGCAAAATGTCTAACTCCAATGATAATTATCAGATATTCAAAACAAAGCGGTTGAAGCTATAATTAATGAGAATCTTGCAATACCTTCTGACGATCTCGCGTGATTTCTCCAATGCAGTGCTAAGCCTTGGCACAAATCCAAAGCCGTCCTCTTCAATCAAAGTATTCCCGAAGTACATGATTCAGAGCTCAAGCGAATATTGAAATTTCAAGAATTATTCATCCTTTTCTATCACTCTTCAAAATTATATTTTATTTATTTTAAACATCTCAATTTACTGGAGAAGGTAATCAATTGCAATGATTACTGGAAAATTTGAAAGAAGTAGTTTCGAAAGAAGCGTGTCTAGCCTCTAATTTGAAACGTTTAAGTCGACAACTTCAAATGCTTACTTTCTTGCTACTTACTTTCAAACTTCAGTTTTATTAACGCATCGTCGTCGAGACATTGTCACTTTCTGCATTCTGTCAGTTTGACATTTCTACTGCAAATTATTTGTGAATAAATTAATCGCGGAAATTAATCATTAATTTCTCATTTGACGTGCCAATATATAATTAATATAATCAAATTTACGTATTGTAATTCAGATATTCAAAAATGCTATAGAAGAGAGAAAAAAATACATTTTTTAAGAATATATTTTATGTACGCCCTTAAACTGATATTAATTTTAAAGTTGAATTTTTAATCACCTATTAACGAATTAATCATATTAATATAGTTTATAATATTTGTCAAAAGTTGGAGTACACATTATCTTTTCCGATTTAATTAAAAAGAGAAGAGTGAATAAGCATTCAAAAATATTTTATTGATATAATAAAAAAATATAAACTATATAATTCGAACACGTTTCGAATGTATCGACGATCCTTATTTAAATTTCTTCTTTAGTCATCTCTCAACGCTCATGTATAAAAAGAATATTCCGGAAGAATATTCCGGAAGCGCATTTCATTCTCTAATTCGATGTATTGTGGTTGTCCACATTCTGCACCTGACAACCCCTCCCGCTTCCCTCTTCTCGACAACGCTGTCGAGCGTGTCGGGAAAAAAAATCGCGGTGGATCGCGGTGTCACACACGATTCGATTATCCCGAGGGCTACCGCTCCCTTTATCGTCCCTGGTACGCGGCCCGATCGGGGGAGCCCCCCAGACTCCCCCCCCCCCGCTTCCGCCCCGCGCTTTAAAACAATCGATGGAAATAATTACATTAATGGCGTCGCCGACAAGAGAGCGCGGCGCAACCCGGGCACCACCTCTTCCCTCCTCCCTCGCTCGGAAAGGCATCCCTCGAATGGGGAGCGGAGCGGGCACCTCAACGGAAACGTAACGCTCTCTCCCCCGCTAACGCCGTGCGGCGCGGCGCGAGCTGTACAGAATGGCGCGCTCGCACCATCTCGCGCGGCGCGGCGCGCGAGCGAACCCGCGCGAGCTTTCTTCGTCACAATGGCGTAATGCCATTCTCGACGCGGTAACGCGACAATGGTGCCGCATCCCGCCGCTGGAAAGTATTATCTTAATGTTCTGACGAGCCGGCGCGGAATGGAGACACTCGCTGGAAACGACGACAACGACGACAACGACGACGACGACGACGACGACGACGACGACGACGATACAACGCAATTCGTCGTCGGGGACGAAGAGGGAAGTGGGGAGAGTTTCGTGGCTCCCGTGGCGGATTCGTCTTGCGTC